AATGATAATCGCTTGCGATTTGCATTATTATGTTTTTCCTTATTTCCGAAATTCCACTTAATGTATATATGTATAGTTCTATTACTGCTAGGAAAAAAAAAAACTTTTCAAAACACCAATAACTGAAGGCTAACAAATATATAAACAATTATTCTCAGACAAACATACACACACATCCATATACACGGGAGCCCTTGCGGCACAGTGTTAAGAGCTCGGCTGCTAACCAAAAGGTCGACAGTTCGAATCCACCAGCTGTTCCTTGGAAACCCTGTGGGGCAGTTCTGCTCTGTTTTGTAGAGTCGCTATGAGTCAGAATTGACTCAAAAGCAATGGGTTTGGGGTTTTTGTTTTTTTTTTAAATAGACACACACAAGGAGCGCTGATGGTGCAGTGGTTAAAATGCTCAGCGGCTAACCAAAAGATCAGCAGTTTAAATCCACCAGCTGCTCCTTGGAAACCCTACGGGGCAGTTCTCCTCTGTCCTATTGGGTCGCTATGAGTTGGAATTGACTCCACAGCAATGGCTTTGGTTTTCTGTTTTTTTTTTTTCCATACACACTAAGTATATACCTATATGTGGGTGTGTGTAGACATACTCACACAGGGCACAGGCACTTATAACAGGACAGCTGCATGATGGATATCCTATAAACATCCCATTAATCTTCAGGGCATTCCACAGAAGTTGCTGTCATCATCATCCCCATTTTGCAAATGAGACTGTCTCCAAGAGGTAAACATGCCCAAGGTAGACGCTGGTGAGTGGTAAAGCCACAATTCGAGCACAGATTTGAGCAGCTCAAAAATCTCTCCGACCTCCCAAGCAGACTGACTACTACAGTTTACTATCTTCCGATGGAAGTGACCAGAGAAAGGCAAAAATGACCTCCCCGCCTACGCCCCGGAGGCATTTCACACACTTTCAGACAGTGATGGTCACGGCACCCCTCCAGCTTCCCTCAGAAGGAGGTGACAACATCAGGAATAAGAGTGGGTGTCGGAGGAGAGGAACGTGGAAATGTGAGGACCTCCAAGTCTCTGAAAATCACAGAGAAGAATCAGATTCCCTGTGCAGGGTGGACCAAGCCTGTTCATCTAATTTGGCTTCAGAAGCTACACAGAGACTTAGATGTTGGCGCATACCCAGCTGCTGGGACCCAGGGAGGGGATAGGAGATACAATACAGTTTGCAGCTGATGTGTTCGTTCTTTCCCTCTGCACCTCTCCCCAGTGAGGGGCCTCAGGGTGAGGGGCTTTTCCCTATTGTCGTCGAGAGCATTCTGGCACAGGAAAGAAGGTCCCAGCAAACAACTTATAGGGCAGACATTCATCGGAAGGGCACTGTTAGGCAAAGGGATGGAACCAGGGCTCGATTAGCCAATAGGTAAGGTAAGCACGGGCCTTACCTTGCTTACCAGATCATCTGGAGTGAACAATTTCACGTTTTATCACCGCATCAAAGATTCTGCTTCTAGGTATGGCTGGCATCTCTCTCTCTCCCAACCCCACAGCACCGTCCTATAGAATCAAAGCCCCTTCTCAAATTTGCAATCCCTAACAGGGGCAGTTGACCCAGTAAGCAAGGTAAGCACAGGCTTACTTGTGCTTACTTACTAATCGGTAGTGAACAACTTCACCACAGATGGTCTGGTGATGACCATGCTTACCTTGCCTGTTGGATAATCCGCCCCTGGATGTAATAAACTAAAAAATGCTGAAACTGAGCAACAGAGACCGCCACAAAGTGAGAAAATTATTTTAGCTCCTACCCACAAAGTAGAGCCTTGGAGGAGCAGTGGTTAAGAGCTATGGTGAACTACGGGTGCTAACCAAAAGGTCAGCAGCTCAAATCTACCAGCCACTCCTTGGAAACCCTATGGAGCAGTTCTACACTATTCTATAGGGTTGTTATGAGTCAGAATTGACTCGACGGCAACGGGTTTGGCTTTTTTTTAATGGGTATCTGCAAAATGCAGAACAGCTGGAAAAGGTAAAATAGGGAATGACTCAGATCTGTGTTAGCAAAGTGCGGGTCTTCCTGGTGCAGGGACCTGCCTTAGGTCCTCGGTGACAGAGTCAGCATTTTAGCAGACAATCACAAAGTAATAAGGCTCCCTCTTCCCTCCTTCCTAAGCTGGACACCTCACTCCACCCTACACTCCTCCTTTCCAACGTTCAGCTACACAGACCAGGGTCCTTTATCCCCAGTAGCAAAAGGCAGGCTAAGGTGGTTTCCAATAAACACCTGTCTCTCTCAAAAGCCCTTCAGCAGATGGATGGTTAAACCAACCGTGGCACATTCATACTGTGGAGTACTACACAATGGTAAGAAGGGGGTAAATCATTGATACACACAACAGCTTGGATCTCAAGGAAATTATACTGAGTGAAAAACTTCAAAAGATTACATACTGTATGATTCCATTTATATAACATTTTTGAAATAACAAAATTATAAAGATGGACAACAGATGAGTGGCTGCCAGGGGTTAGGGATGGCAGGAGGGAAGAGGCAGGAGGAGGTGTGTGTGGCTATAAAAGGGAAGCAAGAGGCATCTTTGTGGTGGTGGAATAATAGTTCTGGACCTTGACATAGTGGTTAATAAATGTACATGTGATAAAACTGCATAGAACGAAATATATATACACAAATGAACACAGGTAACACTGGTGAAATGTAAATAAGGTCTGTGAGTTGTGTTGTTAGGCGCCATTGAGTTGGTTCCGACTCCTAGCGACCCCATGTACAACAGAACGAGACACTTCCCAGTCCTGCGCCATCCTCACAATCGTTGTTATGCTTGAGCCCGCTGCTGCAGCCTTTGTGTCAATCCATCTCGTTGAGGGTCTTCCTCTATTTCGCTGACCCTCTACTTTACCAAGCA